ATGGAATTCCAAAGGTAAATTTGTTCAAAATTAAATTAAATTTGTTTTTATTTCTCCTCGTCTATTGATTTCGTCAGCCAAAGAGATGCAGCAATCTCATGAATAATGACCGTTTTGTAGTAGATTCATTGCGTTTACATTTGACCGTTGTGAGCTTTTGCCTTATGTCTGTCATTCGTAAAGAAAAGCTTGAACAATATAATTACTGCGTCGACCAATCAGAGCTCCTGACTACGCTCCGGACAGACTTAACGTCATCAGTATGGAATTTCTTTCGTTGAGGCGCAGACGATTCCGGTTTTCGCCTTGCCAAAATACAACCTTTTTTACCCAAAATTTGCGTAAGCACGACTATGATACCACTATGGTATCCAGGTGAAATTATACAGAATGGCTCTGCAAAATTTTGGTGGCAAACAATGTGGGTTGAGGGAAATACCCAAGTGGCGAATAGGCCAATTTAGGGTTTTAAAAACCCTTATTCATGTGAAAATGAGTTTAATTAGCATTAAAATAAAACATATATATATACATGTTAGATTTTGGTTTCAGGCGTTTTTCCCGACACTTGTTGCATGTTTTTTGTTTGGGAGTATCGTGATCAAAATTCCCAGTTGCTCCAAGCCTAGCCTCTGTCTTAAAACGAGGGTAAAGGCTGAACCTTTGATATGAATGCTATTGTCAAACAAATGAAGCTCATGTTCACTAGAAAGGTTTGCCATCAATCTCATTTTTAAGAGAGGTTGTTTGGATCTAAGACATGGTCTGTTAGTTAGAACCGCTCAATAAATAGCAGTATCACGGGAAATTAATGCTGAAATAGATTATGTTTTTGTGAATCCCGGGTTCATTTTGAACTTCTAAAACGTCGTAATCTTGTGTGACTACCCCCGATTATTCAAACCATTTCCATTTCCTTAGGAGATTCAAAATTTCGGGGCTCTACACCACCTTCATTAGAACCTCCTTTACATAGGAAAGGTTTCTGCGGTTAAATAGCTTTTTCCTGTGAATTCATTGCCATCCACACACTCAAATCAGGGGCACCCAACGGGAATATAATTCAAAACCACTTAAACATAGCATTGTTGAATTTATTTTAGTATTTAAACGGTAGATATAGGCACATTTTTATCCCCTAAAAATTTTTCATCTGTTCGGATTTCCTAGCTGAAAGTCTAGCGATCCGAAAATTATAGGGATTAAAACTTACCTGACTTAAATGTCAGCCAGAAAAGGTGACCTTTTCTGTGTAGAAATCCGTTAAAAATGGGCAATTATTCCATTTTTGAAATGTTCGAAAATCCTAGGAGAGGCAGGCAAGCAAGAAATTTAACAACAAATGTTCCGAAAATTCTAGATCTCAAATCGTCTTCCGAACAGAAATTTCCCAAAAATTGTCGTTGGGTGCCCCTGTCAAATCGGTTAAAACCATAGCCTAATGTTCCTCAGCATTTTAGAATATTTATGTATGTTCTCTTTGTCGTTCACTGCTAGCATACTAGCCCTTTTTCCCTGCTATTAGGCGGGCGGAAGGGAAAAGAGTCCTCTCTCCCGCCCATTACTAGGAAAAAGAGGCTTGTCTGCTAGCAGGGAATCTTTTTCGTTTCCCGGACAATCCCAATAACTCGCCCAAGGGGTATACTTCGGCAGTGATCTGATTTATCTTCCTTCGTAAATAAATGAAAATCCGTTGCCAGAATACGCTCGTTCACAGGGCAAAATTAGACGAGGCCGGAAAATCGTAGACATCGAAATTCAATTGTATCCAGTCCATGATCAAAATTTAAAGCTTGCGGTTAATTGCACTTTCACTGCGACGTTTTGCGGTTAAAACAAATCCTTCTAAAGCGCTTTATTAACTACAGTAATTTTTTACGTTACAGTCAGCTTAGTGTATTTACCTAGGCCCACCCTAGCTTGTTACTGCGGTAAATATAACGAGTCGGTTCCTTTTGAACTTAACCGTAAGACAAAAAAGGTCCCACCTGGCACCATAAAATAACCACATTTAGGGGCTTGTTTGCCTATCACCCAAAGAAATAAGATTGCTTTTTCATTTGTTACGGTGTGGGGCGCGGGATAAAGTAATGTGTTTAAGGTGCCCAATCGTTTCTTCGTATTACCGAGGTATTACAGTTTCCATTGGATGTTGCTAAAAAAAAGTGCGTTAAATCATATTGGCATGATTGAAAAATGCGAATAAAGCGCTCAGAATTGCCTACTATTTACTCCAGTCTATTTACCCCATTTTGTGCATGAAAGGCCCTGCAGTATATGGCCAACGCTTTCCTGTCCTAAGGTCACTGCAAAGTACAATCGCACTTAAGAGTTTCTGACAAAAACATGAGACTTTATAATGTATATTTTTTCGGCGAATTTTATTTTATCCGGGACAGTTGAACAGTGCAATTTGGTACGTAAAAAAATGCATTACCGGAAGATAAGGTTCCATGCAAAATACAAACAAGAAAGCAACTTCGCGGAAATTAAAAGAACAAAATTAAAACAGAGAGTAATAAAACTAACTCCCAGCAGGATCTGATAAGTAAAAGATTTTATCATTAGTTGTACTATAAAGTCAAGTCAAAACAGAGCTGGTATTTACATTAGCGATAAATGACTGACAGATAGATAGAAGTTCTTAACAATCGCCATTAGACTTAAGATCGAAGGTAGTCGCGATGTTTAATCTTTTATGTTCATTATTCAATTCACCTCTGCATTCAAAAAACCCACGAAAGTCAGGTTTAACAAAAAAAAAAGGCAATCGCAGAGGCATCACGTAAAATGTTTTGTTGGAAAAAATGTGTCAACCGTGGATTAATAGAATAAAATAGTCTGATTTACTGATAAATATATTTTTTAAAAAAAGCTGTACGCTAGTCCTCGATGAGAATAATGATTCTGTCTCCGAGTTTAGCAACATGGTGAGAATACTCCATGAAAATATTCTAGTGACAAACAATTTTATCTGGGAGCCTGCAACTAAACAGAGGACCTTCTGTATTTCCCATTCAGTCTGTGAAGAGTATTAAAACAGTAAAACGATCGTATTTTTTTTGTAATGGTAACAGCTTTGACTGTTTTAATTTATTCAAATTACCAATTGCCTGGTGAGATTTCACAGCAATATGCAAAGTAAGAGAATCTATGCGATTTTGCTCGTGTGGGTGCTTTGAGGGATATATCTATCGATCGGTTGCTAAATATTTCTAAACTTATTATGTGTGCTAAATACAAGTATCCGAGAAGTACAACGACCCCTTTTCCCGTTTTTCCAATATTCCGGATATTTCCGAAATTCAGTACATTTTTTGAAGGCCACCAAAAACCATATAATGTATAATCGATGTTATTTTACCTTAATAAGTCTTAAAAATACTAATAAATTCAGTTTATGATTTACAGCTGATTTTAAAAACAATTAATATTTCTTATTTTTCTGCGGAGAGAGCTCCATTTTATCTCTGTGTCATTAAAGTGAAGTTCACTTGTCATCTCTTGGATGCAAATGAAATTATGGATCTGATGACTGAAATTCATAACCTACAATATTTATTCAATCGTTGGAAGAGAGTAGTTTACAAAACCATCAGAAAAGCATAGCCGTTACCTTTGAACTTAAAATGTTTTTTTAGTTTTAATGAAAGTAAAAGCAATTTGACTGACAGACTGTCAAAAAAGTTAAATGAGCCGATATTTAACAAATGGCATAGCTTGGACCTCTTGATAGTCTAGAACTTGTTTTCCGGTCGATAATTCCTAATGTTTTTCTACCGGTGAAATTCCACTAACTAATTTGGTGAATTAAACTTGTCACAAAACTAAAAGAACGTGTTCATGCATTGTTAACCTAAAAATTGGATAATGAATTTTATGTACACGATATAACTTACCACGATGGAGATGTTCAAATATGAAAGCTTTGGATGTCTAATTTGCATTTGTAACAAAACTTGGATATACGTTTAGTTTTGATGGACGTGTGATTTACCATCTGTTTGCCCAGGAAGGGGTGATATTTAGACGATATTCTGAATTTAAATGTTGACTGCTTCTTGTTTAGTTCTGGCAGTTTCTGGAGGACATAATTGAATCTACAAAAGCGAACAACTCTGTATTAGTTACAATATTTTTTTCTGTACTATATGAGACTACAAGTCTAGATGAGCTTAATGATTGTGTTTGTTAAGATAAGGAAAATAAGCGCCAGTTGCCGCAATATAGGGAGGAGAATATGTCATAAAACGTCAGCTTTTATGTGGCCGATTTTATTAACGACGATCGAGAACGACTTGTGATTTGCATGGAAAATGAGTCTACCGAAGTTGCTCAGACTACGCACTTGGTGGAATAGCTTTTACTAAGTGGTGATTAACTCTGGGAGCGCCTATTCTGTTGAGAAGGTACCAAGTTTCAGGAAGAATTTCTCTTGACGAATTAGTCAAGCAACCAGTTGATGCAGTCGAAATCTTAGGTCTTTAATAACAGTAACTACATCAAAATCACCGACAATGGCTGAAAATCACTGTGCCCAACTCAGTAAGGTTTTACCGCAACAGGGAAGCCTTTTCGTTCCGTATGTCCTTAACTGTGTAGTTATGTTCGTCCTGAGCTTAACGGCGATCGTCGGAAATGTTTTGATTCTGGTATCCATTTGTCGCGCGCCGCAATTTCTGCGTCAGCCGTCGTATTTTCTCTTGGTCAACCTCGCCTTCGCTGATTTCTGCGTCGGGTTTATCGCAGAGCCAGCCTACTTGGTGTACAAGCTTTCCTATCTGGTAGATCCCTTTTCTTTGTTGTCATGTTACGCTGGAATCGTATTCAACTTTCTTTCTTACTTCTTAACATCTCTGTCGCTTTGGACAGCGGCCACCATTTCGTTGGATCGACTATTGGTGCTTCATTTCCACATGAAATATAGCGCGATAGTGACAAAGTGCAGAGTTTGTATTCTTATTGCTGTTTTATGGCTACTTGGCATAATCTTTGGTTCTATGTTTGACTGGGCTGTGGACGCACAAAACACCGTGTTTGTGTGCGCAAATACAATGGCGCTCTTCATTGCACTGCTGTCTTATGTGCGGATTTTCCAAATCGTGCGCTATCATCGAAAGCAAATCTGCATTCAATTGTCTGAGGTGTCTTTCAGGCACAGAGATGAAGAAAATTCTTTGTGTACTTCGTTTTGTAGAAAAGACAGCACCTCGAAACAGTGGGAAGAAGCTATGTCTGAAGAAATGGACGGAAATGAGTCGGTTAACTCAAAGACATGCGATATACATATAGCACCAATTAAAACCCAAGGCAATGCGGAAAAGGCGGACTATGAGAAAAGGTCTTCTTCCACAGAGAAGGCATCAGTGCCACATCTGGTGGAAGACCAGTCCTTGTGTGCTGGGAAGGAGGCAGTGACAGGCAGTGAAGCAGGGCAGATTGGTGTAACGAAACCGGAAAACCACGAAATCAAAACATTGGGGGTGGCAAAGGCGAGTTTTAACCATGATCGTGTTTTATCATCATCGAAAAGGGAATTAAAGGGGACAGAAGCGTTCGAAAGAGGACAAGAAACCTCAAATGGTCTGGCGAATTCAAATTTGAAGTTTTCAAAAAACACAGGCAGCGAGCAAAATCAGGATAACGTAGTTGGACTTAAGGAAGTGCACACTGAGTCGTTGGCAAGCAAGAATTGGATCATCAAAAGCTGGCATCAGAATCAGAAATGTGCTTCAGCAGATTGCACTATTGAGACATTTAAAGAAGATACGCAAAACGAGGATGGTTCATCAGATGGTAGGGACCAAGAAGGAATTGAAGAGACATATAAAAGACCATTCGAGGAAAAGGCAGGTTTGAAAGAGAATCAGAATCCGATATGTTCTTTTGAAGATAATGCCGTGAGGAGTGAAAGAGAAGAAACAGATCAAGAACAGAGAAACTTAACAGAAGTGATGCAAGAAAACTCTGTTAGCCATCGGAAAGATACGAAAAACATTACATCAAATCACAGTCAAAAAATAACCACTTCTAATCGTCACGCTCAAAGTGCAAGTTCCGCAAACAACCCAACTATAGGAGACAATCAAATTGCCATTAGAGGCAGTAAAAGGTTTAAAATGCGGCATTTTAAGAAGTCTGTTTTCAACATGTTTGTCATTTGGTTTCTTATGCTTGTCTGCTACCTCCCTCTCATATGTACATCTGCTTTATTCACGCTGCTAGGACGAAGTTACTCGATGCATTTGGCCTTCAATTTTACGACTTCTGTGATGTTTCTCAACTCTAGTATGAACCCAGTTGTGTTCTGCTGGAGGATACGGGAATTTCGCGCAGCTGTGCGAAAAACTCTGCGAGAGTTATTTGGCTTTTGGGCCAATCAGATTAGTAGAATTGAGAACTTTTCTTCCACTATTAATTAGTTAGGGAGGACGGATATTGCTGCTGTGGGTCTGTACTAGTGGAGTTATTTTATGCGTTCCTGCGAAACTGGCCACCTGCCCCTCCCCTAATCCAACATTTTGCTCTAAATGAGAAGTAAGTGTTAATGTTGGTTTAGGGGAGGGGTAGGTGGAAAGTTTCCCAAAAACGTATAATGATCTCTTATAGAGTACTAAAGTGTGACGTCATAATGGGATTTGTTATGGGATTTGTCAGGATGTTCAGAAAGAGCAATGTCCAAGAGGCCTATTTGCCAAAAATGAGCATTGTCTCTGAGATCGTAGCCCAGTTATGCTTAGAAAACTCCATACAAACCCTTGTAAATTTTTTTGGGGGTCGACCCAATGCTCATTTTTGACAAGTAGGCTTCTTGGACATTGTTCTTTCAGAATACCCTGACAAATCCCATAATTTCAGAAATTTCATTTTTATGACGTCATCACTTTAGTACTCTATTACTTCTTTCCTTTACCCATACATAAAATGCTCTTGTAGAGCTACGAAGAAGATGTTAAACAAATTTCACCAGGGAGCACTATCCTCAATGATTTTTTAGTGATTTTTGCAGGCATCGCATTAAAACTTGAAAACGTTGGCCCAATTTTTTCTATTCTCAATCCATGTCCATCCTTAATTGCCATCTCTTACAACAGACAACAGGAAACAGTTTCAATGCGTAAATGTAGTGTTAAATTACAAATCTAGACCATTATTTTTGGAATTCAGTTGAAACGAAGAAAAGTTTTAGCTATTTTCGAATAAAGAAAATAGCGTGAGATAGGATCTTTAAGAGATATATATTAGCAGTAGGATTTTAGCATTTTATACCACTTAACAGATAGTCAAATACAGACCTGATGTTCAACTAATCTATCCTTAAGCTAAGTGCCTTATATAAACCGATTAAATGTCGGTGGATGCTAATATAACCGCGCTTCTTTTTTTCGCTTCAAAAAGGCGAGCATTTTTAACTTCGATATGACGGATAAACTCAGATTAATACACTTATCCTTGCTACGCGTGCCAACTGACGTAAGAGCCTATTTCATGTATGCGTGCACGCACAACATGGAACAAGTGTATTTGTTTGTTCACCATAAACTGTTTTGAGCTTTATCGCTTAGTCTCGCTTGCCCGATTTTAAATATTATAAACGCAAAAAGCGCCAACAACACCATAAAAGCCCATACATACATACATATATACATAACCTTTATTTTAACTCGAATTTTAGAGTAGCTACACTATATAGCTAATATCTTTGAGAAACAAATTAAGATATCTAAAAACTGAAAAACAATACCCACAAAATAAGACAAACATTAGTGAAACTAATTAAACGTATCGAGACTTTGCTCACGTCGCTTAAACTCATTAAAAGCACTGTTCCTTAATTAGTCGGGAAGATCGTTTTGTTGCTGAGCGGAAAAATATGAAAAAGAGTGTAGTCCATAGGTTGTAATGTTCTAGGCTTACTTAGAGTCAACATATGGGTAACGCACAAGTTATAGGTTGTATGGCGAACAGAAAACATATTCCTCATATAAGTTGGATACTCATTAAAAAATAGACTCTTGTAAACTAGTATAAAAAATTCTTAATGCGGTTGTTTAAAACAAAGAAGTTGAGTCGAATGTGGTGGAGTCGAGCTGTTCTCTTGACAGAAAAATAGAATGGTGATGTTTATCGGAAGATGCAAATAAATTTGCCTCAGAGGCAAGGTAATGCGCCCTTATGGCCAATGAGTGAGTCTCCCTTTTAGCATAATGCAATTGTACCATGCACCTAAACAAAGCGCGTTTATACTGCTATCGAACATACTCCTTACAGATTAGGAGGTTTGATTTTTTCCATTTCTGCAATTCACTTTATTTGCTTCACTTCATTATGAAAATTTTTTTTTTTTTCCGACATTAATTCTTACGGTATATATTATTTCAGTTATTTCACCGGAAAGGCATTTTAATAGCATTTTGACAGCCGCTGTCATTCAAATTTGTACCTGATTGCCAATTTACCTCAAGGCGTCGTTTCAAGAGCCCAGCCAAACTAGTCTGCGTAAAAGCTGAGTATATTTTGGATAAGGATATGTGAAACTAGCTTTAATTTACTGTTTGCCATTTGCGCGACACCTAAATGAGTTAAGGTCGACTTGTCGGCCTCAGCTGGGAACAAGAGAGAAATCATTGTCACCTGTCCTTCCCTCCCCCCGCGCCTTTTCGTAGCGTTTTTTTTCGCTTGCGGAACTGGTAACTGCGAGGCACTTGCCGCCCTTATTTGCATGAATTACTATTAACATAAGTATGAACAGACCTCTTTAGCCTGTAAGTTTTGTTTTCCAAGGAAAATCTCATAGAAATTTGCCCGTTTCTCCTAAATTATGCGTAGATACGCACGTGAATTAGACCAAATAATTTGAAAGAAATAGTTCTCAAGAGTATTATCACATGAGCTACATTGGGAAAACAAAACCGACAAGCTAAAAAGGTCTGCCGTTGAAGCTCATAGCAATGTAGCGCCCGTATGATGAATTATGTATGAGCTCTTAGTGAAATCTACGTACCACCGGTTCGCCATTTTCACTTTGCCCATGATACACCTTGTTTACCCCCCAAAATTTTCCATCACTAATGACTATAGTGTTCAATTTCTGGGTATTACAGTCATCCCTTCCCTGCTAGTAGAGGTCTCTCACGGCAAGATGAAAAATGATAGGAAAAAGAAGGACCTCTGCCGGCCTCGCCTATTTCCCTTTCGTAAACGGTCGTTGCCATTTTTAACGGTCGATGCCATCATTTGTAACCAAGCTTTCATGATAGATGTAATATAATTCCTGGATTAAGTTACAGAAAGGAAAATAATACGTTTTTGAATAGTCTTAAAAAGAACGATGATGACGATGATGATGATACCTTTATTAAAGTGTCAAAACTGTAATAGCGGTGTATAACCACTAAGTGGGGACACTAAAATAAATTAAAAGGGAATAAATCAATTAATAAATTAATTAAAATTAAGAAAAACTATGTACAGTATAAGCAAGTGAAAAATTCGTGAGAACTATATACAATATGTACAAATGTATCCATAATCTTATAAAAAATAAGAAGTAAAAGATTAAGAAGTGCAAAGAGAGCAGCCAGAGCAGTTATTGTCATCTAATAGCATGCTAAGATCCACTTTTCTGATGTTATATTTGAAGGAGGACAACGTGGAAGCTTTTTTCACGTTACTAGGAACAGAACTCCATCCTTTGGGCCCATATACCTGAGCGAGTGCTTTCCAAAGGAGACTGTGTTGAATCTGGGTATAGTGAAGTCATGATTGCGTAGTTTATACTTAATTGCAGGCTGTTCAAAGAGAGTGCTAATGTATGTTAGGCACATGTTGTTTTTAACTTTATACATGAGAATAGCTATGTCCTGTAGTCGCCGGTTGTGTAGAGTAGATATCCCGGCCATAGATAGTAATTGACCATAGGACGAATGTTTATCACAATATATAGCCCTAAGTGCTCTTTCCTGGATGCGCTCTAGTCGTCTAGAATCACTAGCACGGCAAAAATGCCATATAAGATGACAGTGGGTTAAATATGGGAGAACAGCTGCCTTGAAGCCCAAGTTGAATTTTCGTTAAAAGTTATGGAAAGGGCTTGTGTCACGTGTTATTGATGTATCAGTTCGGGAAAACAGTTTGTTGGTTTATGTACTCAAATTTTTCGGAATTCTTGCCGTTCGGTGCGGTAGTGTAGTTATGAGGGAGAGAGATAAGGATACGAAAGGTCTGGCTTCGACCCTGCGTTGCAATTTTTTTTTTTTAACATAATCACTCTCAATAACAACTCAAAAAATTTTCCAAGTGTCTTAAAAATGGCAGCGACCGTTTGCAAAAGGGACGATTGCGCCGGCCTCCGACGCGTTCTTTCCCGTAGCCGCCGGCTTCATCTGTGGCCGAAACTTACTGTTTTAAAACTGGCTTCGTTTAATGTGAAATGCGCGTGCCCTGTTAAGACTGTACGCTGGAAATTTCTGTGCCCACAGTTGTTATCGCGCAATCCTGTTTTGTAAGTTGTGTCGCACGTGACTTAAACGTCAGTGGTTGTTAAGGAAACGCTAGCGCATGCGTGATAGAAAACGCCGAATCCGAGGCCGGCAGAGGTCTCTCCCTTTCCTCCATTTCTTCTCTTGCTTAAAAGTCCTCTGCTAGCTAGCAGCAAAAGTCGTCCCAAGCGTAATTAAAAACATTACTTTAACAAGTTTGGCAGGTAAACAAGGTGTATTATGGGCATGGTGAAAGTGGTAAATTCAAGACAACTCTCCCCCTTCCCTTTCTCCTACCCCCTCCCCATTCCCCTTCACCTTCATAACCTGGAATTGAGCACGAGTTCAATGTAATAAAAAGTTTCAGTTACCTTTCAGGGAAAATTGTTTGTTATTAAGGTTACTTTCGTTGGGAATCGAGATTTTAACTCTGAACTCAGTCTTTTAACTTGCTGAGCTATAGAAATAACGTATTAACTTTCGAATAATATATAACATTCTAACTGATGTTAATTTTCAGGTTATGATTCTCAAATTCGATCTTCTTTCATCGTAACGATTGGTTTATCCTCTGTTGCCACTATTTAAAGTGAGACAGAACGGATTCTGTGGTAATTCTGTTGAAAAATTTAAAAACACCTCTTCTAAGAAAAAAACCGTATACCTTGAAATGGCACAAGTTTCTACTTAAGAATCTATATCGTTAGATAGATAGTTTGATATCGCAACTAATATGTTTATTCTTAAGATTAATACATACTAACCTATGAATAATATAATAATACGCTTACTGATATTAATTTCCAAGTTATGACTCTCAAACTCCATCTTCTTCCATCGTAGCGAGTGGCTTTACCTCAGTAGTCAGTGCTACTCTTTCAAGTAAGACGGTAATTTTATAATAGAATTAACGCCTCTTCTGACAGTAACACATAAACCGCTAAATGACTATTGTAATGGGTGAAGCGTCGAGTATACTATCAAAGCCGACATAATACCTCTCTTTTCTTTCTTTTAAACAATTTTTTTTGCTTCATTCTCCATCTATATAATATTGTGATTCCTATCATAAATTCAGTAAAATCTGTAAACCTAAGAAGCCTGGTAATGGCCAGCCGAAATATTGTTATGCCACGTTGTTATGATCAGCTTTGCATTAGTCTTTGCGGAGATCCAACGTTGACAACCATCAGGATCGTCGTTCACGGTTTTTGCAGTTTATTTCTTTATCATAATACGGAGGCCCCGTTTTTATGGAGAAAATTTGTCTCGGGTGGAAGGGTCACCCTACCCGAGGAGCCCTGGGCGAGCCAACTTCTCATACAATTCCTTTCAAAAAGTGGCGGAACGTTGCAAAACAAAGTTCGCTCGGCTACGAGGGTAGCCCGCCTTGCCTTGTCTAAATGCAAATTCCACTGCATTGCGAACACTAATAGTGTCGAGTGAGAGAGTCTTCAAATGGTTTTAGCAAAAGGCTGTCTGGTGATTCTAAACAAAGACGTTTCTGCGAAAACCCGGATTTTCTCTTCTTGTTATGAGCTTACAGATGGCAAAGATGGGTTAGCCAATAAGAATGAGGGATTTTTCATACAATATTAGTGGATCAGAATTTTACGAATGAAAATTAATTTATAGGTTATGACCCTCATCGTTCATCTTCCTCCATCGCAGCAAGTGGTTCTACCGCAGTAGTGAGTGCCGTTTTGCCAAGTAAGACGGCTTCCCCTGTAGAATCAACGTTATCTTCAGAGGTTATGCCTGCGGCCGGCTCCTCAATTGCGCCAACACCAACTGAAGCAGCGACAG